TGGGCTACTATATTGTATTTGGGCTCTTATTGTTATATTCTCTAGGGTTATACTTAAGCTCATCTCTATGTATGTATATCTACTCTAGATTGTACATAGAATAAGAAAATTCCGCAAACTCTGATAGTGTGACAAGAAAAAACAGTTTGCTACAAATAATATGTAACAACTAGTAGTAGATTACCATGGGTAAAGTGGTTTGATGTAAGTGTACATATATAAATCGAGAGATCATTTGATTAGTTAATTACTAACTAGGTGGCTCTACTCAATGAGGGTTTTAAAGGACACATCAATTAACTTAACCAATCAAAATATTTCAATTAAGTCTATATGCCATGTTGGAAATCTCTACAAATTTACATAAATATTTTGATATGAACTCACAAATACATGTATTACATATTTATATATGAAAATGTTATATAACATAAGGTTTTAACAATGAATCATTTACCAATATCAATTACTTTATAAAAATTGTGTTCATATCCATTTAGATACCGTATGTGATTGATCATACAACTATTTTATTTTATATCGATTAATTTTATACATATTACTATAATTAAAGGTACGCTTTTGTTATAAACGTACAAGTTTACAAATCAAACATTAATGTTGACAAAAAAAAATCAAACATTAATACTTGAATTTCGAAAAATCATGAATTTCACTTTTTATGAGTTATTTGATGTTTTTATATGGTTTTAATATGCGATATGTTTTTGGTTTTGGTAACTCAAATAAGTTTGAAAGAAATAAAAATTTCAAACGTACTCAATTTACAAAAAAAAAACGCTTACATTTAATTTAAATGTCATACGAATTAAATTTGGTAAGATAAAATATATTTATCTATATGAAAATATATCATTTGATCTTTGTTATTTATAATTTCTCCGGTGTATTAAAAAAAATCATGAATTTTTTTTTTTAATATTCTAATCCCGCGTTTGACGCGAGACAAAAATCTAGTGAATTTATAATTACACAAAATGTCCATGTGTGTTTCTAATTACAAAAGTGTCACTTACATTACATTATGACCGAAATACCTTCATGTATGGATGTGGAAGTGTGCAGAGTATTTAATGCTGGATAAAGTATTTAATGCTGGAGAGATATTGAAATATTTACATGTATAGGTGGATTGTCTCACGTACACAAATGAGATACGTACATATTTTTATGCGGACAATGATAGATTATAAAATTTTTCCCATAAATTAAAAATGATTTTTTAGTTTAATTGGACCAAAAAAATTTACCGTTTTTGTTATTAGCAAAATCCATGTAACTTTCGACCTTGAAAAAACAAATATTTGCTTTTTTGGAAATTCGTGGAATGGATTAGTGTCAAGGCATACATATCCTCACTTTTAATCTTGTCTCGAAGTTGAAATTATCGCTCTTACTTGGGAATTATCGTGTTTAGATCATTTTGATTTTGAAGAGTTCATCTTTAAGAGTGACTTTCGGATGGAGCCAAGGGGATAGCCACGACAATGGAGCTATACAACTGAGATCCTTGGAAGAAAAAGAAATGTATCAAAACCAACTCTTGTGTTGATGCTATTGCTAGGAAGGCTTTCTTCCTTTTCTATAATTTTGCAACTTTGGAATATAGTACTTAAAATTGATTAATATGAAATAGTCGAGATGGAGAAATTAATGTAGGCTTCCAAGTATTACAATAATAGAAGAAATAAGAAGTTTGAGTTTAACCTAAAACAAAAAATATAAACACTCTTGCTTCCAACCACACGCACGTTCCAATTACTACACTACAGTGACTACACCATTCATATTTCAATAACTCTAAATAAATGCAAATGCTCAATTCTGCAAACTCAATCAACCGCAGTGGCGTTGACTCGAAGAACCGCAGCCGAGTTTTAAACTCTAAACCAATCTCGAGCACTACTATAAATGACATCGTACTTGATGGCTTAACAGGAAAGATTCAATTCACAAAAATAACCCCTTTCGTAGAAGAATAGGAGAATGAGAGATTTCTCTCGCTGAATAAAATTTCTGTGAAATGGTTATGTAAAGAAACAAGACTGGATTCATAAGATGAGACAAGTGATCAAAATCTTTCAAGATTCAAACAATAAAAACACCCTTATCCCATTAAACAAAAAAAGTCGTCTAAATATGAAAATAATATGGTCACATATATTAGTCGAAGTATTTTCATTACGAAAAGCAACCTATAAAGCCGAGCGAAAGTAATAATGGTGTTGAGTTTCTATTTAACTAAGCTTAGCTAAACTATTCTCAAGAAAAAAAATATAACATGGATTTTTAATGGGAAATTGGGCCAAATAGCCAAGAAAAAAAATAGTGTAACATAAAAGCTAGCCAAAACTTTCATATGTGGTTAAATCTTACCCTTTAGTTCTAGAGAAATTTAAAAAAATACCATTTTTCAAATGCCACTTTACAAAAATACCACTTTTTCATAATTATTTTTTTTTTATATTATTTAGGTTTGAGTTAATTATGTTCTATTAGGGTTTAGGGAGTTTATGGATCAACATATTTTTTAGTGTTTAGAATATAGGATTTAAAAATCTATAATTAGTGACATTTTTGCAAATAAACATCTCTAAATGATATTTTTGTAAATATGCACATAAAAATGGTATTTTTGCAGTTTTCCGTAGTTCTAGGGCAATTGATCACTTTGTTAGGTTTTTTTTATGGTTATTTGGCATATTAACCTATTTTTAATTGATCATAATCTACTTTTTTAAATAAAAATAAAAACTAATGCTTAATTATTGAATTGAGTCATGCGTAATTTTTTGCCATGTCATTTGGTTATGTAAGCGAGTACGATTGGATTCATAAAAAGATTCAAACAACAAGAACACCCTTATCCCATTACAGAAAATATGAAAAATATGGTCACATATTAATTGAAGTATTTTCATCATACAAAACAACCTAAAGCCGAGCCAAAGTAATAATGGTTTTGAGTTTCTTTTAGACTAAGCTTAGCTAAACTATTCTCAAGAAAAAAATAACATGGATTTTTAATTGATCATAAGCTTGCGTAATTTTTTGCCACGGTCATTATATTTGGTTTTTCTTGAGCTA